GTACATGTGAGGTGTGATTCGGGGATTTATGACAGATAACGGTGTTACAATGTCACAATTGATAAATTAAAAATATATATAAATTGAAACAGCAATTTCCTACTTGTATTTATAGGCCTATAACTTGGAAAAAAAAAGCAATAAAGCATGTAAACACTGGGTGTTTTTAAACTCAGGACAAAATTTTGAATCTATTTAGCAGTTTTTTTTCATTAGCTTTTGTAGATAAGTAAAAGTTTTAAGTAAAAGTTCAAAAACATGTTTTTTTTTTCAATTTTTCACCATATTTTATTATTTTTTTAATTCTTTATTTTTGCCACACTCCACTCGGGAGTATGCAACAGATGATATTCCTGGAACAAAGTTATACCATAAAACAAGCATGACATTTAGACAATGTGTATCAGTACGGGGAGGATTTTTATATATTTATGGGCATGCTGGCCTAACTTGTAGCATCCACTGTAGTGTAGAACCTTTCTCAAAGTACAGATTAGCACCCTCTTATAACATATCTATGTCATATGTGTATCGTGCTATAAAGAGTGGGGAGGGTGGGTTGGGGGACTTCTCAAATAACGTGCACCCACTGTGTAGGTTTGTCAGGATAGCATCTAGGTCGGGGTGTATCAGCTCCCCGTTGAGGTAACAGCTACATTACAGAGGGGAGAAGGATAGTTAGGTATAAGTGGGAGCGCAGCAGCGGGTAATAATAATAACCATCAAAAATAACGTAAGAGAGTTATAATACTGTTAGTACGCAGTTCGTCTGTATGTTCTTGCTGTCCTTCTGGCTTGTTGGTCGCTGCCGGCGAACTGTGTGTCGTGGGCCAGTCAAGTGACGAGGAGTGCAGGCGGGCGTCCTGTGGTTGACCGTGGCGTGACGGTCGGGATCTTAGACGGGTCCAAGTTTCGGAGGCAGGAGGTTGAGTCTTGTTCGGGTAGCAGCTTCAGGCTGCACATGTTGGCCTCTAGTTCTAGAGGGTTCTTGGCTCTGTAGGTGCCTCCCTGGTGAGTGAGTATGAGTTGTCTGGGGTTTCCCCCGCGGTAAGGCACGTCCTGGGCTCTTAGGATTTGGAGTAGGGGTTTCATTGACCTGCGCCAGAGTAATGTCTTTTTGGTGAGGTCAGGGAATAGGAGCAGAGATGAGCTTTCGAATTGGATTGGGGTTTTCCCTCTCACTGCTGATGAGATTAGGGCTTTGTCGTGCATTGTTTGGAAGGGGAGAATAAGATCCACCGTGGCCGTGGTAGGGGCATTTTTTGGCATTGGTAGCCTGAACATGCCGTCCAGTTTTAGTGCCTTTGCTTGTTTGGCCGGTAGCAGGGTTGAGATGAGACGCCTTATGTAGTGCGGCATTTCCTCTGTACTCACTGTGTCAGGGATGCCCCTCAGTTTAAGGTTGTACCGTCGCCTCTGTTATTCCAGGGTGTCAACTCTGGCCTCCATGCCTTTCTGGGCTAGTTGTATTTCTTCCAGCTTCTACTCTATTTTAATTAGTCTGGAATCCTGGTTGCTAGATGTGGCCTCTAGGGCTGTAAGTCGGGTAAGTGCACCAGCTACTGTCTCTTTAAATTGTGAGATGTCGGCTGCTATATTGGAGCGCAGCTCCTCCAGCATGGATTTCAGCATATTTTTAGCGATTGGTTCTTGGCTAGCAGGTGGTGTAGTTTGTACCTTTGGTACAGCTCCCAACATGGCTCCTCCGTCCATATCAGCGTGGAAGTCCTCAGAGGAGTAAGAAGATGCTTCATATTGGGCCATGCGGTCTGCTGAGCGCGCCACAGGAGATCGCCGATATCTCGGCTACTGGGCGCCCGGTCCGCCTTGATTTTCTTTGTTTTTTGGCCCATGTGCTTGCGACCAGCTGTAGGGTAGGTGACAGCCTGTGTGCTCCGGTTTTCGGCCGTTAACTTAGCCGTTTGGCCCACTTAGTGTCGGAGCTCGTGGGAGATGCGTCTGGCCAGGTCCGCAGCTATATTATTTTTTTTAAAAAAAATATATGACATGATACAAATAGTGGTATGTAAAGAAAGCCCTTCTTGTCCTGAAAAAAACAATATATAACTTGTATGGGAACCGTAAATGAGAGAGAGGAAAATTACAGCTAAACACAAACACCACAAAAGTGTCAAAACTGCTCTGGTCCTTAACGTACAACATTGCAAAAACAGGCTGTTCCTTAAGGGGTTAATAATAATTACAATATAAATAGAAATATAGAAACATAGAATGTGAGGGCAGATAAGAACCATTCGGCCCATCTAGTCTACCCAATTTTCTAAAATACTTTCATTAGTCTCTTATATCTAAGATAGCCTTATGTCTATCCCACGCATGCTTAAACTCCTTCACTGTATTAACCTCTACCACTTCAGCTTGAAGGCTATTCCATGCATCCACTACCCTCTCAGTAAAGTAATACTTTATGATATTATTTTTTAACCTTTGCCCCTCTAATTTAATTGTCCTCTTGTTGTGGTAGTTTTTCTTCTTTTAAATATGGTCTCCTCCTTTACTGTGTTGATTCCCTTTATGTATTTAAATGTTTCTATCATATCCCCCCTGTCTCGTCTTTCCTCCAAGCTATACATGTTAAGAACATTTAACCTTTCCTGGTAAGTTTTATCCTGCAATCCATGAACTAGTTTAGTAGCCCTTCTCTGAACTTGTTATGGGCAAATGCAAATATTACAAGTTTTAGAATGAAATGTTGTATTTCTTAAACTGTGTACTTTGTCTTTAAGAGATATTGCAAATTGACAAGGTGTTAGAAATGGAACATATTGGTTTTCATAGATGTTTCTTTAAGCAATAACCTCAGTGCATAATATGTTTGCACTATTTTGTCCCAGATGAATTACAATAACAATAATGCATAAACAAGCTTCAAGGCTATGCTACGACTCTTTCAGTACACAATATACTGTGGTAACCTTAAGTAGATAAGGATGTCCAGACTTTAAGATGCCATCTTGAACTAAGTCAGGAAAATTTCCATGACGTATGCACCCTTTAGTTATGGCCTTGTATGTTTGCCAAATTAAGGGAGGTCCTAAAATCAATAAAGTAAAAGAAGTGTTACTTTTTCATATATGAACTATGGTAACCCTAAAATGGAGACACCTAAGGTATAAATAGGTGTACTTTTAAATGTTAAGACACAGAGGAGAGACTTAGAGACAGACGCTGCTCCATCTTAAAATGACAGAGAGGCTGACATGATGACATGTTCAGAAGGGTATGTTAACCTATTAATGATATTTGCAAGCATGTAATTTAATCTTATAAACTCTGCTATAATGGATTTTATATTTATATTTTTATATAATAAATATCCTAAAAGACAAAACTATTGCTTCCAAGACAATCCTTATTTTATATTGTATTCTCAATTATTTATATATGTTAAATAGAGGATCTCTCACACTATATAAAATTATGACTAAGATATCTGTATGGTTAGCCCTACCAAGTACTATGCTTTAAGACATTATAGTGGTAAATAAGGGAACCACCTGCGGTTACAAACTCTCTCTAAAGTATCAATATCCTTCTGAAGATATGGTCTCCAGTACTGCGTACAATACTCCAAGTGAGGTCTCACCAGTGTTCTGTACAATGGTATGAGCACTTCCCTCTTTCTACTGCTAATACCTCTCCCTATACAACCAAGCATTCTGCTAGCATTTCCTGCTGCTCTATTACATTGTCTGCCTACCTTTAAGTCATCAGAAATAATCACCCCTAAATCCCTTTCCTCATATGTTGAGGTTAGGACTCTATCAAATATTCTGTACTCTGCCCTTGGGTTTTTACGTCCAAGATGCATTATCTTGCACTGATCCACATTAAATGTCAGTTGCCACAATTCTGACCATTTTTCTAGTTTACCTAAATCATTTGTCATTTGGCTTATCCCTCCTGGAACATCAACCCTGTTACATATCTTAGTATCATCAGCAAAAAGACATACCTTACCATCAAGACCTTCTGCAATATCACTAATAAAAATATTAAAGAGAATGGGTCCAAGTACAGATCCCTGAGGTACCCCACTGGTGACAAGCCCAAGCTTTGAATATCCTCCACTGACCACCACCCTCTGTTGGCGGTCACTCAGCCACTGCCTTACCCATTCAACAATATTGGAATCCAAACTTAAAGATTGCAATTTATTGATAAGCCTTCTATGTGCAACAGTGTCAAAATAAAATATTGAGCGTCATTGTCAACATATCTAACATAACATCTAAGCCCCAACTCTTTTAACAATTGAATCGTGAGAATGGCTTCCATTAACAACATATTCACATATATTAACATAAATAACATCTACACACTTAAACCATTGCCACCGTGGGCATGATTTACCATGTTCCAACATGTAGGGGTATACCAAGATACACCCTACACACACCAGGTTCGGAGCTACCAACGAGCTTGAACCAACCAAAATCTAACCAAACCTAACAGTACTTAGCGAACTAAACTATATTACATCTGGACAAACAACATATACCCCAACTTGTTTATCCATCCCCCGCCACAGCTCAGAGCTCGACACCTCGAACTACCTGAGCACCCCCCACCAAAAACAAAGCCTGCTGCAGTCCTTCCTGAAACCCCAACAACAAAAAATCAACACCCACATCAGATACCTATACTCCATTTTGCCTATACTACCCTGCCAGCTGCTCCTCCAAATCCTGATGCCATACCACAACACACCCAAACCATCTAACATAAGCTGCCACCAGCTTATTCACCTTCCCCCTACTCTTAGCCACTGCCCGGGGATCCCTGGCGTGCAGCCATCGTAACCTCGGCACCATCTCAGACCAAACAACAACCACGTCAGGGA